TAAAAAAAAAAAAAGAGAGATCTATACATAAGGAAGAAGGGAGGAAGTGACGGACGGAAGTTTCTTCGATGATCGGTCAATATCCGACAAGTCAGGACATAGGAAGCAAGTACCAAAAAAAAAAAACAAAGGTGGACATTAAACATACCTCGAGTAATGATCGCCAAGTGTAAAGCGGAGTTAGAGCCTAGCGAGGGACGGTATTCATAGCCTATCGAGGAAAGATTAAATCTGTGAATCGACGGGCGGGATGTTTGGGCAAGTCAATGGAGGAATTCGGGCCGGCAACTTGGTTCGGGATAAGGTAGCGTTTGGTTGAAGGAGAAAGGGAGGTTCTGGAATTCCGATCTGAACGGACAAAATTTCGTGATGCCTTGATAATATCGGAAGCGTACAATTACACATTGCAACCTGTTTGCACTCGGGCTGTGTGAGATCACGGCACCCTGGATCTAAGTCATTTCACAAGTTAGACCAAATAAGGACCGATGAAGACACACAAGAATAGATAAATAAAATTAATAAAATAAGGATAGTAATAAATAAAAAAAAAAACATTTTTTTCTAAAAATAGAGCTGGTCCTGCTGTATGACCTTAAACTGCGGCAAGTCCCATAAAAAAAAAAAGAGACTTTAAGATGGCCACCTCGAGCCCTGTCATGGAAAAACAAGTTTTAGCAGCCAAGTACAAAACAGTGGACAAAAAGATTAGGCCCATTAACCACCCCATGCCTCAAGACATAAACCCTCCACTCCAAAGGCCACCTTTATCAAGGGACCCTTACAAAACTCTAAAGGATTTAGAATCTGTGATTGATTACGAAAAAGAGCCGACACACTAGAAACAAAGAATAGTGAGAAAAAGCGCAGCAAAAGAGAGAGAGAGATTGAAATAAGAAAACCAACATTGATTGAGCAGATCATTTACGAAGAAGCACAGGCAATGAGGAGAGAATGGAAGAGTAACAGTTGGACAGAACTGATAGGCAAGAGTCAGTCAAGAAGAAGCTGATATGAGAGAAAGAATAAGACAAATCTCAATAAATCTCACCAGGCAGAGAATAAGAGAAGACAAGTATTGAAGGTGAATGAATTGAATGAAGAAAAGAAAGAGGAGTGAATATAGGGGAAATAGAGAAGGATAGAGTGAGTTGAGGAGCTGAAGAGTGAGGCTGAAGGTTCGGATGATCTTGATCCAGATGGAAGTGTTGAGTTTCAAGCATGAGAGTCGGGAGAAAAAGGAGGATTGGGAATGTCTTTGGGTAGCAGACCTGTGACATGTCTGTGATTTTTAAACTCCACTGACACCTCACCCTCCTCAATTCATACCAACTGAGAGAATTACACATGAAAGACTAAAAGCAGTAAATTTTGGACCCCCAGGGTGGCTTTCTGAGGAGGAATTAAGTCTGTTAAAACATGTAATAGTATTAAGACAAAAATCTGTGGCTTTTTGTGAAGAAGAGAGGGGCCTACTACACCATTCTTATGGCAAGCCATACAAGATACCAGTGATAGCTCACGACCCGTGGCAAAAGAGGCCAATACCAATTCCCAAACCCATACTACCAGAGTTCATAGAGCTAGTGAGAAAGAGGATTAAGACCGGATTGTATGAACAATCAACGTCAAGTTATTCCAGCCCGGTGTTTTGTGTAACCAAGTCAAATGGAAAGCTTCGAATAGTTCATGATCTTCAAGTGCTAAATAAAGTAACAATAAAGGATGCGGGCCTACCCCCCAAGATTGAAGAATTTGTGGATTCATTCTCAGGAAGGGCATGTTATGGATTGGGTGATATCATGGGCGGATATGATGAAAGAGAACTGGACCCAGCATCTAGGCCCCTCACAACTTTTGAAACAGTTTTGGGAAGGCTACAATTGACAAGACTTCCCCAGGGCGCAACAAACTCCGTGGCAGTCTATCAAGCCCAGATGGTTTGGATTCTCCAAGAAGAAATACCAGAGCACGTGGGAATTTTTATTGATGATGGGGGAATAAAATGGCCAAAATCAACATACAATAATGAAAAATTGAAAGAAAATAAAGAAATCAGGAAATTTGTGTGGGAATATGCTGTAACATTGGAAAGGATATTATTCAGAATAGAAGAAGCAGGCCTCACCATCTCAGGAGAAAAGTTTGCGTGCTGTGTTCCAGCTCTGGACATAGTAGGGCACGTGGTATCTCAGGCTGGAAGAATAATGTCAACACAGAAAGTCAACAAGATACAAAGCTGGCCAACACCTACAAACAAGAAGGATATCTGTAGCTTTTTGGGTCTGTGTGTATACGTCAGAATGTTTATCAGAAATTTCTCTACAGCAGCTGCACCACTCAGGCGCCTTACTAGGGATGACGTTGAATTTGCCTGGGATCAAAGGTGTCAAGAAGCTTTTGAAGAATTAAAGAAGATTGTAGGGGAAGAGATAGTATTAAAAAATTTAGAGTATGGGAAGAAGGCTGGAAGGGTAACATTAGCTGTAGACTCCAGTTGCATTGCTGCGGGTGAAGTGCTCATGCAGGAGGATAAGGACAAGGTGTACAGACCAGTAATTTATGAATCAGTTGGATTTTCAAGACGGGAATCTGAGTATTCGCAGGCAAAATTAGAGCTGTGTGGGGTAGCAAAGATTTTAAAGAAATTACAAACAATTCTGTGGGGTCAGCATTTTGAATTACAAGTGGACGCCAAGGCCCTGATAGAGATGATCAATACGCCAAGTCTCCCAACTGCGCCTATGACAAGATGGGTAGCTTTCATTCAATTATTCTCTTTTGACTTGGTACATAAGCCGGGAAAAACTTTTACAATGCCGGATAGTCTATCAAGGAGGATGCCGGATGACGCCGAGGAGTTAAAGGATTTTGATGAGGAGGAAGCATGGGTTACTCCACACCCAGGGTTTGGCGCTAAGGAAATTAACCTTACTACGCTTGGAGTAGGGATAGATTCAAACACACATACAAAGTTTGGAATAAAATGTCAGAATACTTGCAAAC